CCCCCCCCCCCCCCCCGAGCCTCCCGGGCCTCACTCTGGCTGCTCAGACCCGGTCTTGCCCCGTTTCGTCCCTCCAGACCTGACTCCCGGGAACTCGGAAAGCAGACACTGGGGTTCTGATCCTGCCCGGCCCCGCAGCGCAGCCTTGGGCAGTTCCTTAGCCACTGAAACGTTTTCCTCACGCAGGCCAAGGGGTATTAATTGCACATAATCACCACTTCATAGTGGTGAGAAGAGGAAACCTGTCGCTTGTGAGGGGCCTAACCAGTGGCAGCTGGAGGCCATTCCCATGCTAGCCACTCCCTGGACCAGCTGTTGCATTTGTCAAAGGAGTTGGACCGGATCCTGGTCCAGGTCAACTCTGATATGCAGTGACATCAGATATTTCTTTGTTCCTCTTCTCCACATCAAAAATGTTTTTGTTCACCCTAAAAATACACGTTTACTAGCGTCTATCATGCCACCCTGTGCTGGGAATGGAGCGCATCAGGAACCCTGGCTCTTATGCGGATGAAGTGCTTACAGTACACAGGGGAGGACAGATGCCCAGTCATTACAAAGGGGGAGGGACCTACAGAAGGGAAGTGCAGGGTGGGACGGGGAGGCCTCTGAGGACCCTTCTCTTCCCTGTGCAGTTCTAGGTTCTTTAGATGGTTTTACTGGTTGTGTCTCTTCTCAAATGCCATGCCTTGGCCCAGCTGACATGACCCCATCTCTTTAGGAGGGGCAGGAGCTAGGATCAGGGGCAGACAGACCTGTCACACCAGACAGGCATGAGGCACTGTTGGCTGGGTCCCACCCTGCAGTGACCACCTGTGGGACGCTGGTGGGGGAGGTGCTCTTCCTGTCCAGACCGTGATAGAAACGCTAGGGGGACAGACTCTCTCAAAGAGGTCCGTGCTGGGCCTCAGGTCCCTGTTGAAGGTCCCAACAGAAATCATCAATGGGTGACACATGGAGACACCTTCTCTGAAGTAGAGGCCAGGGCTATAACCACAAGGCCACAGGCATGCTCACACACAAAGTCCCAGTCATGGGGCATCTCACAGTGCTGGCTCTCAGGTCCCCATGTGGCCTCTAGGTCATACTTAGCCTGCCCCAGCCTCATGTTGTCACCCAGCCATTTAATAAGCAGGACTGAGGGCCCCTGTGCACAAAATCAAATGGACACAGGTACCTCAGACAGCAGCCCTTTCTCCAAAGAGCTCCCAGATGAGTGGAGAGTGTGGACAGGCAAAAGACGAGGCCACGGCATGGGCTTTCCCACAGCTGATCCCACAGGGACCCACTAGAAAGGGGGCATCCGGCTCTGCCAAGAGGGAGGGAGGAGAAGACAAAGCCGTTGAGACATCAGGAGGGCTGACCAGGCGGGTCTGGAGTGGCTGGAGGTCACCATGAGTAGGGAGGCCAGCAGAAGGCGTGGCCTGCAGATGGAGCAGTCGTGAGTCCAGAGACGGCCCGGGTAGGATCGTCTGACTTGCCCAGTGACACAGGAGGAGCAGGTGGCAAGGGCGGTGGGGTGTGGGTTTTGGTTACTGGGTAGCCAGGACCCACCAGCAGGCAGAGGAGGACTGGGCGAGTGGGAGGGGAGACGGTTTGGGACTTGCTGAGCTTACGTAAGGGATGTACAAGGAGAGGTACAAGGAGGCAGTTCCGCTGTTCGGTCTTGTCCCTGGAGCTGCAGGCCTAGGATGAGGCCACCTAGGAAGAGTGTGGTGTGAGAAGAGGGGCCGAGACGGGGGAGGACAAGGAGAGCAGGATGACTCTGAAGCCCAGGGAGAGCGCGTGGAGGTGACAGCGCGCTCGCTGATGTAGCCAGGAGGAGGCGACCTCACGGGAGTGGCAGGGCACGGGTCTGTGGAAGGTGGGGGCCTCTTTCAAGAAGCACGGCTGGGAGGGCACGAGGGTGGCTGCTCTGTGCTGTGCCGCTGCAGGAAAAGCTAACAGTGTCCCGGGCTGTGGGGAGGGGAGGAGGTGTGTGGAGGGAGTGGCATTCAGCACGTGCCAAAAATGGGGGCGGTGAGGGATGGGGAAATGCCCTTCCACAGGGAGGCTCCGAAGCTGTGCTGGTCCAGGTGGCACCTTCAGCCTCTTCTCCTCTCCCTTCCCTGTCCCTGCTGCATGCTGACACCCTCCCACCCGCTTCTGTCCTGCAGACCAACATCCCCTTCCTGCAGAATGTGCTCAACAATCAACAGTTCCTGGCAGGCACCGTGGACACCCAGTTCATCGATGAGAACCCAGAACTGTTCCAGCTGCGGCCTGCGCAGAACCGGGCCCAGAAGCTGCTGCACTATCTTGGTCTGGCCCAAGACTGTCCTTCTCTCCCGTCCCCTCCCAGCTGCCTTGCTCCCTGCCCCCTGCCCCTCTCCCCTCCGCTTGTGGTCCTGTACCTTACTCCTGTGCTTCACTCTCCCGTTCTGCCCACCCTTCTTGCTCCTGATCTTAGAGACCCTCCATTTCCATCCGTGTGGCCCTTAATAGGTCCCAGCCTGCCCTGACCCACTGCCCACTCTCTCCCCAGGACATGTCATGGTGAATGGCCCGACCACCCCGATCCCCGTCAAGGCAAGCCCCAGTCCCACAGACCCCCTTGTCCCTGCAGTGCCCATAGGTAGGTGAGATCCATTCTGCCAACTCATGGGGGAGACTGAAGAGGTTGCCACCTTCAGGATAAGTGCCAATGCCCCTGTCTGTCCTAGGCCCACCCCCGGCTGGCTTCCGAGACATTCTGCTGCGAGAGGGGCCTGAGGGCTTTGCTCGAGCTGTGCGGAACCACCAGGGGCTGCTGCTGATGGACACAACATTCAGGGATGCCCATCAGTCACTGCTGGCTACTCGTGTGCGCACCCATGATCTCAAAAAGATCGCCCCCTATGTTGCCCACAACTTCAGCAAGCTGTTCAGCATGGAGAACTGGGGAGGTAGGCTAGAAGAGGGCTGGAATGTTGGACAGCGCCTGGCAGGAGTTGGGTACCCACTGTGTGGTCAGCCCTGAAGGCCCAGGCCACTGGGGACACACTGGGAGTAGCTGGAGATGTTAACACTGAGAAAACAAAGAGTAAGGCCTGAGGAAGGCAGAGTGTTCAGCAAACAGCGGTGCTTGCTCCAGCCAGGCCTGGTGGTGGGCATGAGGTTGCAGAGCTGAGACTCAGGCACTGTCCTGGGAAGCTCAGTGTCAGGGAGGAGACACCAGCCTGTTAGTTAATTATAGCACAGAGAACCAGGGGTTGGGGGGGGGAGGAGGCCACGAGGGCTGTAAAATGGGGTACAGAGAGGACACAAGTGGCCTGAGCTGCCCGAGAAATCAACAAAGGGAAAAGTCTGTAGGGGTTGGAGCTGAGAACAAAAGGAACTCTGAAGATGAGCAGGGCCTGTGTTGGGGCCAGAGACTCCGACCACAGAGCTGCAGGGCATGGTGGGGTCCGTGTGGCATGCAAAGCTGACCTGGGCCTCTTGGTCTCTGTGCAGGAGCCACATTTGAT